CCAGGGGCCCACCCCAGCCACCTGGTCCTTCAGCTGCACAGGGGAATGGCACCCAGCTGGGTCTGGGCCACAAGGGAAGAGGCTGCACCCCACGGCCTCTGGGCCCCAGCTGTGGGCAGAGGCCACCTTGCATGTACCAAGTAACCATACCATCATCAGTGTGTGTATGGAGCCCCCAGTCAGCCTGTGGTCCCCACCTGGCAAAAAAAAAAAGTTACCATGTATTTATGTGGTCACACCTGCCATGGAAACCTTGTCACCCTACTTACAGACTAATGGAAATTGGACAATTTACTTTACCTCTAAGTTTGCATTCGTTGTCTCTAATGGTCTAGGAAAGCTATTACAAGGCTATTGACTATTGAGATTAAATATCTTCCAAGTAACTAAGGCCACCCCAGGCACAGGACAGTCACTTGATATGTGGAGTTACCACCCACAAGACACAACACAGTATCAGGCCCATTGCAAGTATTTCCTGGTAGGATGGATGGTTGAATTTTTCAGTTGATTTATTGGAGAGAGCAGCAGTATACCCACGATCATTTCTTCATTGTTCCCACATGAGAGAACAATATGATTGGTGGAGGCTGATGAAGAGAAAGGAAACGGGCAGTAATTGGAGGAAAAAGAGGAAGGGAAGTAGTGATGGAGATAAGGCAATGTCATGCACAGAAGTGCGTGCATGTGACTGCCTTCTTAAAGGGACGGGATAACACAGGCATTGCTTCCTGATCACAATTACAGAAATTGAGGGGCTGGGAAGGGGCCCTGGAGATGCCAGGCCTACTCCCTCACTGCAGACGTAAAGCAATCAAGGCCCTGAGAGAGAGAGGGACAGAACTGAGTGCTGGGGTCGGGCTATGGAATCCCAGGAGCAGCAGGGGTCCAAATTCTCACCGAAGATCTGACTCCCCCTTTCCTTTCCCAAGGCCACTCAGTCTCTGTCCCTGTCCTTTACATGTGGAAGACTACTTCACAGACTTGGAAGATTCAACACATCGATCAGCAATCTGCCTATAATTCATTTCCTCTTTTATCTTTCTAATTCTTTCTCTTTCTTGTTTATAAGCTTCTCTTCTTCACTGTTTATGAGTCTCATGCTGAAGGACCTGGTCTCATCCAGGCAGATGAAGCCATTGGGTCTACAATGTCTATAAATCTTTCTCCAGTCCTGCTCACCCATTTCCTTAGCATTGACCTGATTTCTGACTCCCCAGTTACACCAAGAGACTGAATATACAAATGGACCATAGCTGACCATGTGTGAAAATAGGAACCAACCCATTATCTACAGTTTTCATTCCAGGAAGCAGCTTTATTATGTGTAAGTCAGACTTGCAGGAAGTTTGACCACTATATCTAGCCACCAGCTCAAGAATCTAAACTATAACCTTGTAACAATTGGCCTAAAATGGCCATTTTTATAACTGAGAGCTTCCCTAATTTTTGTCCTCATTTCCAACTTGGGACCAAACAGAGAAAGCCAAATATGCATCACTGACAATCACATAGGATGTCCCACGTCTAGATAGCTCCTGACAGCTTCCTCATGCCAACAGCCACTAATCAGGGCAGAGCTAAAGCCTTCCCTGCCCCCACTATAAAGATTTCTTACTCCTCTACCTGATTTTGAGTCTCTGCCAAAATGCAAATGATAGTGGCTGAGTGACTTGCTCTAGCAAGCTCAGAATAAACATTCTTTGGTTATTCTCATTTGATTGGCCTTTGTTTATTGGACAGTTAGTTGTGGAGGTCCCGCTGGGGCCCAGTCTGAGCTGCCTGTTGCTTCAGACCCCAGCTGAAGCAGGTGTGGTACCCAGAGATGCCCCTGGTGCCTTGCTGCTTGTAGCTTGTCGAGTCCATGATGATGCAGTAAATTCTCTGGGTCTGAACTTTACTCTCCTTGTGTAAGCTCCTAGATTATTTATTTTATTTACTGCCTAAATTTTTTTATTGCTTCCCATTGGTGTGGCCCTCTTGGTGGAATCAGGACATTCCTATTCACCTCTTCTTGCAGTCTTTTTGTGTTGTTGTTTTGTGTTGTGCTTCATCAAAGTGTTGGGTGTCATAAGAATAATAAGAGGATAGAGCCAAGAGAAGGTCTTAGGAGTTTGAGTTGGTCTCACAGACCCATGAGTTGGACCTTTTCATAGGACTGGCATCCACCTGGATGAACTTTGCTGAAGGTCATCAACCTAACCAGATGAAGTTTCTCCTCCCATCTGGGTTTTGTGTCCTGAGAGAATTTTCCCTCTGGTTTTCCACCAGCTGGGGAGTACAAAGGGTTGGGTCTATGGTCATAGGTGGCTAATGATCATGGGGATGGTAGTGGGCACCAAGACATGAGGTACATGTGGGGTGTTTAAGTCTAAATCCTCTCTTCTACCAGAAAAGAAAAGTGCCTGCTTCTTGTACGCACTCTCATTAAAATCCTAATTCTGTTCCCCTTTCCAAATGGCACAACTTCACCAAGGAAGATTTGAGTCTTCAGTGCCCATTCTGGTGAACATTTAATTAGAACAAAATTGTTCCTCTGAGAGGAGACTTAGAAAGGGAAGGAAGTAAGATTTCACAAGCCCAACGGGCACCACTTTTTGATTGATCTGATGAGGCTTCCAAACAAAATTCTGAATCAAAAATTGCTTCCTAGAAGATTCTTTGGCCAAAGCGAACGAAAGATTTGACAAACTTATGCAAAAATAATCCAGACTCATTTCCCTAGTAGATCTTCCACTCCTTGTGGTCCAGTTATGTCCCTGTGTCCAGTTTTCACTCTTCGTCCTTCTGACCACTCTCCTTCTGCACCTCCACCCTCCTCTTCCCTTTGTCCAGATTCCATACCTTTTCGCAGCAGTTCTAAAACATCCAAAGTGCCAGTTGCTTCTAAAAATTCATCCCTTCCACAGCCAGGTGTGCAGACAAACATAGAACTCAAACCCGGAAACTGAGCTTAATTAAGAGTTATAAAGAATGATCTCCCTAACCCAAAGAAGATGGGCAAATATTCATGGCTGTATTTAGAATTCCTTTAGGTGCACATGACCCTATTAACTTGCGTACATGTTGGTCAGATCCTCAGATGCTAAATACCGTTGGCAAAAAAGCTGATTGGGCTGACCTGGAAAGGGACCTCCAGTTTCCCTCTTTCCACAATAAACCAAAGGATCATGAAAGGGGGTGCTGCTATATAAATAGGTCAAAGTCCCCTTAAAGTCTTGCCTGAAACATTGTCGATAAAAATTGATTGGACCATCATCAATCACGCAAATAAACAGAACAAATTCCAGATAGACTAGAAAAGACATTTTCAACAACATTCATGAGTTTAAAAAGGTGCTGATGCAACAGCACCCCTTCCATCTCACTTTGAAACTGGAGATATAATTTGAAAATATAATTAAAATGGAAAATAGCCCCTTTAGCTGAACTACAACACCTGGCAGAACATTTTGAAAGGGCTTCTAATTTGGAAGACAGGGCTGTGGGTTCTTGTAAGGCCACCACATGGATAACTTGTGTGGTCATAGTTCACACTGTATTTCTTTGTGAAGAATGCCCTGGGTTTGTTCAACATCTGTCCCTGCAGGACCCAACTCAGCTCTCTCAACTCTCTTAAGAGCAGCAGGGAGCATCCCCTTGCTGGAAGCTTAGTGGAACATACATTTTCACTGGCTGTGGGGAGTCAGAGTGTGATGGCCTTGACCTCTCCCTCTTCGGACCTCCTGGGAAAAAGGTGAAGAGGACAGAGGCACAGTGGGACAGCTCCTCTTGCAATCAGGGTGGCTCGCCTGGCCCAACTTTGCACCCCTCTGGGCTCATCATAGGACTTGACGTCAAGTAGAGGGCACTAGGGATTTGTCCAAGCCCTGAGGTCTGGTGCTGTGGAGTCCTACAGAGGGTCCAGGTCACCTGCTGGTGCTGCTTCTCAATCTGATGTTGTATAGATTCTTTTGCACATAAGAAAATTCAAGTCAAACGCAAAAACATGAAGACAATTCAACGCAATACTCACTTGGGATGAGTTACGGGGGAAGGATTTTAAGTCACTTGTGTTTCTTTTACTTATCCCCTAATTTTGTAAATAAAAGGAATATACCTGATTTTATTACACTTTAAGAAGCAGTGCCTTCTGTAAGATCGTCATGTTGGAATACACTAAAGCCACGACATTGATGTTTTTATTACTAGGGCATGATTCTTTTTAAGTCAAAGGCCTAAGCAAAGTTTAGTGTTGGTATTAGGAAAAAAAGGAGAGATTTTTTAAAGAAAAAATGGAAGCTCTCCATGAGGCTGTCCAGTTTCAGGAGGAAAATCTCATGACTGGATTGTATTGAGGGTAGAGGAGCATGGGCATCACTTCTGTCCTGTGTCATCAGACACCCCGCTCCTCACAGGGCCCCAGGGGGCTGGGGTCAGCCTTTTCATCTTGGAGTCCTAGAGCTCCCCCTTTCCTCAGCATCCATTTCACCGTCTGGGAACCAGTCGCCTGAAGGCTGCCTTGTCAAAGGCCCAAGTTAAAAGGAGGCTTCAGTGGGACATTCGTAGACACTCTAAGCAGGCAGCCAGCACCCTCTGCAGAGAGCGGCACAAAGTCCTCAATGCAATGTGAACTCCTCTCCCAGGGGGTCAGGGGCCCACGGCCCCTTCTCCAGGGCCCTTTGGATTCTGCAAACCC